TTTAAATACATTTAATAAGATATAGAATCAGATCCGCAATAATATTTAAACCATTAGCAATACTACGCAGTTAAATGAAAATGTACTCTTAGGATTAAGTAAAATTAAATACATAAATATATAATATACAAATAATAATAAAAGAATAATAATAATAAAAAAGATAATAAAAGAGTATCCTAAGATCGAATTTTTTAGTTTTACGACAAATATGAAAAGTAGACTGTGACTAGCGCACTTATTTATAAGTTTTAAACATGAAGGATAAATAAAAAGCTATGGTTCATGGCTTCATTTACAAAGGCTTAATAAACAGTTAGCCTTCACCACAACAACATACTCAATGATTACCGATTTGAGAAACATATTAATAATTACAAATTCTGTGATTAATTATGAAATAATATATGATAATAATGATTCGTTTATCACGTTTTTATACCATTGAAGGGTATTATAACTCCAGTCAAAAGTGTGCAACGCAGTGAAGAAGTAATCTGCGGCTATATACATATGTATATATTCTTTATCAACATTAACAGTCGAGTCCATTTAGCAATATCTATCTGTTCGTCCGTTTGTCCGTTTCTACGTAAACTAGTCTCTCAGTTTTAAATCTATATTAATAAAATTTTGTAGTAAGTCTTCAATATATTCACACTTCTATGTATGTCGGAACGGGCCGGATTGGACGATTATATCATAAAGCTGCCATAGGAAAATCATATCAAATTTGTAATATAGCCATTTTATGTTTATACCCTTGCAGGGTATTATAATTTCAGTCATTTTTAATTTCCAACATATTTTCTTCAAATTTCAAATTCATATATCCATTTTATTGTATTTTATAATATCGGTTTTAATTTTACAAAAATCTGACTACTATTTCTAATAGCTGCCATATAAACGACCGTTGGATATAAAGGAAAACGCAAAACTGTAAATGTAAAACTGTAAATGTAAAAGCTTAAATATGTTTTTTGACATAAATATAAAAGCATAAGTATAAAAACTTCGGCGTGTGGAAGTTAGTTTTTTTCTTGTTTATGTTATATATTTCATATTTTTATTTGTAAAGTTCTTCCTAGCGCTACAAGTACAAAGAACTTAAAATTTAATGCGCTAGTCACACAGGACAAGGTAATCTTGAGATAATATTTCTAAATTACAGTAAAGATTTTATTTATTGTTATGTCAAAGTTAAAAGTAAGTTCTCTATTAGTTTTTCCCTAAAATGCGCGGAACTGCCTATGTTTTCAAAATAGTTTTGTAATTGGTTCCATAGTCTAATCGCAAAAATATTGCAGTTCATAGAGCATGTATCTGAGTGCATTCTTTATTTGTATAATTGTTTTTGCTCTTCGTGATGTTGAAAATCTAAGTGTGCAAAAGAGATAGTTTGGTTTCTTAGTAAAAATGATTTTTTGGAAATACACATACACTCTCATTTTTATTCAGTCTTCCAGGTGAAATTCAAATGTCTTGTATATTCATTTCTAGTGACGTGAACAGATAGTTGCAGATTAAATACGAATCTTGCAATACTATTGTACGAAATTTTGACTTTGTGTTAGCTGATTGAATCACAATTTTCAAATACTTTAATCCGATAAAATGAAGTTGGGAAGAAGTTTGGGAACTTAACAACAAGCCTTACGTTTTCCCAACAGCTGTGTTTATGTGATCACTCCAGCCCAGGGAATTACTTAAAATTTAGTTCGAGTCCTCGTCCGTTATCTTTTCCCCAGTTGCTTATTTGAATCAGTTCATTATTAGACATATTTACACACTCATATATTCTATTATTATTTACATAAAAAGTGAACAACGGAGCAAGAAAAAAACCTTGAGGCACACTACGTTTTATACATTACATCAGTTTGACGACGATTTTGTAAATATGATGACAATAGTTTGACAGCAGCTTTCGAAAAGCTGAACTGAGTAATCAATTGTGTACATATGTATATCATAATGCTTAACAGTTTCAAAAGTTTTACTGTAGTAAAGTAGCGTCACATGGGACTTGTCAAAATTTTTTAAAATTGGTAAAATTAACTGCGGTTTTTCCTGAATACGGATTGGCTATTATTAAGTAATGCATTTCTTGTATAAATGAATAAATTAAAACTGTCTTATTAATCTCAAAGGCCTTTGATAAATACGGTATTATTTTAAAAATTTTGGAATTAATAGTTTTATAAAATTGAGATTAATATTGTCAAGTCGTACAGCGACAGATGTTATTTTTAGAATATAGAAAAGCATTCCACACTGATTAGGACAAGCAAATTTAAAACTTATTATCAAAGATATTTTCTGGTACTAAACTCAGGTACCTATTATTTTCTGTCCCTTCGTTGGTGTATACCTGACTATACCTAAAGACCACTCTGCATGTTTGACTGGTTGAAGTTAATTTTTTTAATCTTCGAATACAAAAGTTTTACCTTGCGGAGTAAATTAGTTTAGTCACTGCCTTTCTCTGTAATTTAAATCGTACATAGTAATTTTGTGACCTGCACCTTTTGGTATGCGTAATTTCGGGATTTTCTTGTCTATTTAATTTAATTTAGAGGAATGTTTGATCGATCAATGTTTGAATGTTTGACCGGAACAAAATCTTCATACAAATAGCTGATATTGTCTGGAAATTGCGTGAGCTGCTGCTTCAGCTCGCCTAGAAGACCATTAGCCGTGCCTTTTGTAGCTCGTCTACTTTCTTTACCACATTCTCAAGTTGAGGGACTCTTTATCTGAGGCTGTGGATTTCTGCTGACATCGCTTGGAACTTCTCTTACCTCCTTGGAAAGGGTATCCATCTGCTCATCAAATGATTTGGAGCAATTGGGTCGAAGCTGTATTAGACGCTTTCAACTCCGGGTTGTCTCGTTCCCGCAGGCGCTTCCAGAATACATATTGTTGTATCGTATAATTGAGTGTTTTGTTAAATTGAGCGATTTATCGGTTTCTCTGCTATTTGATTGTGTTTCGTTTGAGTATTTTGTAATAGTTTTGTTTTTGTATAATAGCCGTGTAATTCGCATGAATGCGATTGATGTGGATTTGATTTGGATTTTACAGAAAATATAGTTTATCCAGTTTTTAACAAAACCCACTGTCTGGATCGTAAAATATTGGTAGAGAGCTTAAGTTATGAAGTTTATTTTTCATTTGCAGTCATTATACCCTTGCAGGGTGTTATAATTTCAGTCAGAAGTTTGCAACGCAGTGAGGCACCTCCGACCATATAAAGTATATATATTCTTGATCAGGATCAACAGCCGAGTCGATTTAGCCATGCCCGTCTGTCCGTCTGTCCTTCTGCCCGTCTGTCCGTTTCTACGCAAACTAGTCTCTCAGTTTTGAAGCTATTTGAATGAAACTTTGTAGTTAGCCTTCTATATACTCTCTCTCGTATATATGTCGGAACGGGCCAGATCGGACGACTAAATCATATAGCTGCCATAGGAATGATCGGAAAATTTTTACAAAAAAAAATTAACATTTTTAGTTTTCAAAAGAATTTAATCAAATTTGAGATACAGCTAATTTATATTATTCTACAATTTTGTGTAAAATTTTATGAAAATAGGACGATTGAGAAATTAATACAATCAAAAAATATAACTTTTTCAGTTTTCAACAGATTTTCATCAAATTTGAAGTATAGCCATTTTATATTAGTTTTAAATTTGGTGTCAGATTTCTTGAAAATCTGACGAATATATCATATAGGTGCCATACAAACGATCGTTTGATGTAGAAGAAAAGTGCAAATCTGTGAATGTAAGGCTGCAAATATGATATGTATAGGTGAATGAAATGAAAGCAGGTATTACTTCATTGTTTTTTAACACAAATATATATAATTTATATTGTATGGATTCCTAGTCATCGAAGTTCTATCTGCAAGGGTATATAAGCTTCGGCATACCGAAGTTAACTTCCTTCCTGGTTTTATATAATTTAAAGATTTTTTGGAGCTATGTATAAATTTTACGACTTTCACTGTCAAATTAATCTCCTTTATAAAATTAAACCAAAAATCATTAAATATTACAAAAAGCCTACATCGCTCAGTAAATTAAATTAATTTTTAATTATTTCTTGATTGTTCATATCGCGGCTATACGATTGTCATATATAGATTTTCATAAAATATAACCGAAATTCTAGATTAAAAAAAAACTATATTTTAAATTGGATGAAAATATATTAAAAGCCGGAAGAGTTATAATTTTTTTTTTAATTTTGCGATCGTTCCTATGGCCCTGTGATATGATATACTTAGTCGTCCTAAAGGCCTGTTTCAACTTATAAACATGTGGGAGTATATAAAATACTATGTGCAAAGGTTAAGATATCTTAAAAACTGTTTACGTAGAAACGCACAAACGGTCATGGCTTTATCGACTCGGCTGAAGATGCTGACCAAATGGATACTAAAAATAAAATTCAAATAACTACATAGATATATATCCTTAAGGTGTCGAAAATGTCTCAATCAGTACATTGCTAGCTTCTGAATAAAAATTATAATACCCTGCACATGTATAATAATATATACATACATATGTACATATGTAGATTTAAAGTTCGTTTTTTTTCAAAACCTCTATAAATTCTCACATTTACTATTTCAGATCTATTTTTTTTATTTTATTAAAGTCGAACGTGTGTATTAATTACAAAAATGTTTAAAGAATTTTCTGTTTTTTTTTCTACAATACAAAATATTAATTAAATACATATGTATTATAAAATACATAGATATATATATTTGTAGTTTATTTATTGAATTAAATCGATCCAATTACAAAATATTTTTTCCTTTGTTATTAAATAATAAGATTAATAAAAGAGAGAGGGTAATCATTGACTTCCAAAAGCTCGCATGCATTCTTTTATAATATACGATTCATAAAAAATATTTATTCATGAAGACTTTGAATTATATAAAATTTATTTGTAATAAATGTTTTTTTTTATTTTAGCGGAAGTACTTTATTTGGAATTATTAAGCTGGGATAAATATATTCGCATGTCATCCCACGGCCTAAATAATACATCATCAATCGAAAAAAAGAGCTATCAAGAACATCAAATTAATACAGATATAAATTTGGTAACAGTATTAAATGAAGCAGATTTGGTTATGAGTTTATCTCCCAAGGACATTCTTATGCCCTCATCCATTGGTCAGCAACATCAACTGGATACCAAACTGCATCCAAACGAAACTTCACTACTAAATTCGGTATCTACAGCAGCCGCTGCAGCGGTTGCACATCACCACCACCATAATCTTTCAAATATACACCATCTCCAAAATATTCATTCTCAACATCAAAGTACTTTTATAAATAGCAATCACTCAACACCTTTTAGTGTGACTGATATTTTAAGTCCAATTGAAGAGTCATATCGAAAACTGGAACTGAACGGAAACCCTCCATCGCCGTTTCGGTAAATATAATATGCTCCTAAGACTTAAATACTATAATATATATTATAATTAATATAGAATTAGAGATATGCACAAATGTTTGATCCTACGACAAATTTCTGGCGCCTACATAAATGCAATTTTTATTTTTTTTTGGAAAAAAGTCATTAAAAAAGAGATGTTTTGTTTTGTTAAAAAAATTCTCAAATCAATGATTTCTCTTTGCCTTTTGCTTTCTAAACATAGAGAATGCAAAGAGTCGAAATAAAATGCAAAAGCCCAAATGCCCAAATTTTAATTTTAATTATCGCTTTCTAAAACATCCGGTGCGCAATGTTCTGTGCAAATCTACTTAAAACTGAATAAGATAAGAGAAAAGTTGTTGAAAGGACTTGTAACCATTGTGAGGAGGCATCAAAGCACAAATAAAATTAATTGCTTTAAAATATTGACCCCGGATCTGCAGAAATTTGTGTTTGAAATGGTCGACCCCAAATATTAAATATACTGTCCGATAGTTTTCGAAACGCTTAACTCGAATCTGGTCCCAAAATTTCTTATACGTCAGGTTTTTATAACTTAAAATTTCGTTTTTTTTTGGGTACATTTGAGGTGATGCAACTTAAAAAAATGTTTTTTTTTAACCGACTGGTACTGTTAAGTCTGTTAGTCTGACGTATAGGAAATTTTGAGGCCGGACTCAACGAAAACTATTGGCAATGTATATTCAGGTTCTTGGCTCTGAGTTTTTTTAAATTTTGGCCCTGTGTTATATGATATATGCTATATTTCGATTTCAGAATTACGTTTTAAATTGCATGAAAATTGATTGCTCGTAGAATTATGACATCTTAATTATAAGCGTTGAAAGCTAAATAGAATAAAACAAGAAAGGAAGCTAACTTCACGCCGAGGAAAATATACTCTTGCACATAAAACTTCGATCGCAAGTAATTAATACAATATAAATTATATATATTTATTTTAAAAAGTTTATGTTAGGTAATGTTTTTTTTTTTTATTTCATGTACCTATATATATTATATTTACACTTTCACATTTACAGTTTTGCGTTTTCCTCTATATCTAACGATCGTTTGTATGACAGCTATATGATATAGTCGTCCAATTTTCATAAAATTAACATCGAAATTCTAAAGTAATGCAAAAAGCCTATATTTTATTTCAAAACAAGAAAGGAAGCTAACTTCGGAAGTTTATATACCCTTGCAGATAGAACTTCGATGACTACGAATCCATACAATATAAATTATATATATTTATGTTAACAAAACAATGAAGTAATACCTGCTTTAATTTCATTCACCTATACATATTATACATATATGCAGTTTAACCTTCACAGATTTGCATTTTTCCTCTACATCAAACGATCGTTTGTATGGCACCTATATGATATAGTCGTCTGATTTCAATGACACAAAATTTAAGACTAATATAAAATGGCTATACTTTAAATTTGATGAAAATCAGTTGAAAACTGAAAATTTTATAAATTTAATTGTATTAATTTCTCGATCGTTCCTATGGGAGCTATATGATATAGTAGTCCGATTTTCATAAAATTTTACACAAAAGTGCAGAAGAGTATAATAAAATGGCTATATCTCAAATTTGATCAAATTCTGTTGAAAACAGAAAATGTTATAATTTATTTTTGGAAAAATTATTAAATATTTTTCCTGTGGCAGCTATATGATATAGTCGTCCGATCTGGCCCGTTCCAATATATATACGAGTGAGAGTAAATAGAAGGCTTATTACAAAGTTTCATTCAGATAGCTTTAAAACTGAGAGACTAGTTTGCGTCGAAACGACAGACGGACATGGCTAGATCGACTAGCCTGTTGATGCTGATCAAGAATATATGTACTTTATATGGCCGGAGGTGCCTCCACTGCGTTGCAAAGTTCTGACTGAAATTATAATACCCTGCAAGGGAATAATAAGAGCACAAAATGTATATCCTTGCTATTTTTAAAAATATTTGCATCTACTGAAAGATTTAGCCATTTTTTATTACTTAAAAATTTTGCTTATAACTTTATGAAATTCAGATGATGCAAAACTGTGAATTAAATAATGTAAATAAAATATGTATAGCTAAATGTTAAAACCAAGTATTCATGATATCTACAAATGCTTTATATAATTCCCCTTAGTTTTCATAGTTGAGAAGGCAATTGTGCTTGAAATATTTTTTTGTTATTATAATTAATAAGTTGTTACTGACTATGGACATATTTCTAGGTCAAATTCCAGTGGTAGCAGTATAAACTCTCCTGGTACTCTGACTGCTTCAACTATGGCCAACCCTTACGCTATGGGATCATTGTATCATAGCCCAGGAGTGCAAAGCTATTGCGGCCCAACCGATAATTTATCTCTTGCTGGTCACTACACTGACATGAGAAGCTCAGCTTCATGGTACGGATCTACCGCCAACGATCCAAGATTTGCAAGTACGTAATTTCTCAAAAAAAAAAAAAATATATATACATATATGTATGTAAAAAATTAATAAATATTTGGTTATAAAGTTTCATTTACAAAAAGAACAGAAAATCTATCTCATCATGCAATGCATTTCGGCATTGTTATGTATTTTAGTTTTTCACTTTTAAGTCACGCATTAGATATGTATATTCAAAGATTAAAGTTATCCCAATAATATTATAAAATGAAATTTGGAAAAATTATATTATATGTGTTATATATATATATATATATATATATATAATATTATGTATATATGTATATATATGGGTTTATGTGTATCTAAGTACCCTGCAGTGCCTGTCATCAACAAAAATCAACGTTTCATCAACAGTCAAGGGGGTCCTGTTGATTTTACATCGATGACAGGCCATACAAACTGTTCATTTATTTAACATGGGCATGTCCTAGGCTGTCATCAATAAAAATTCATCAACAATTCATCATCAATAATTTATCATCGATGTTTCATCAACAAATTTCTCAACGGCCGGGCCATGGTACTGCCGACGACTGCCGTCTAGACTACCGCCGTAAGTGTATCGTGGGCAGAGCGTCGTAGTAGAAGTCGCAGTCGGCAGAGGGTCGACTCGGTAGAAGTCGCAGTCGGCAGAGCGTCGCCTCGGTAGAAGTCGCAGTCGGCGCGTTGATGACATGTTGGTGACAGTGGCCTATTGATGACACTCGGTACTGCAGGGTATATTTATATATAATATAATATACTTAGATACACATAAATGTATATGGGCAATTCTCCAGAAACGTGCACCGCGGCCAAAAACTTAAAATTGCTTAAAAACGAGTATTTTTAACATGATTACATTAAAAATTGGGCAGGATGATCAAGACTAAGAGAATTTTTCATTTTCTAAAATAAGTTTCAAAAAAATGGATGTCAAACACGCGCAAACGCAAATAATGTTGTTTTTATCAAAAAAAGGCATAAAAAATGGCATGTTTTGTTTCAATGCGCATCTCTTAAACCGAACCATTTTGCTTTAACTTTTGGTTTCTAATATGACATAAAAAACCCAAAGATTCAATATTAAGTGCAAAAGGACATATCCGATCACCAATATTCGTACAATTTCAGTTTGAATTAGCGCTTTCCAAACTGTCGCGTGCGACCGGGACTAAAATTGAATTTAAAAAATAACTACTTAATATTTTAAAATCAAACAAAATACGTTAGTAAGATAATTCATTGCGTAATTCATTAAAATTTATTGTACTACAATTTTTCATCACGTTTCGCTGAAATCAGAGCTTAAACTGGTTTTTTTCAAATGTAACTTATATTTTTGTCGCGTGCGAACGCAGTACATTTTAGTGAATATCTTGAAAACAAACACGGGTTCAAAATCGACCTTTGCACCAATTATAGTGCTAACCAAGAGCTATACGTTTCAATTTTTATAAAATTAAAACAAAGTCTTGGCACATGTGTTTTTTTAGTTTGAATGCGTACGAATGTCGCATTCGACACCAGAGAATTGCCCATATGTATATATGTATGTATGAATAAGGCCGCTTAATATTTGCATACTTATGCATAAATGTTTCACATGTAGCAACGTTTTGCGTACATATGTATGTATGTTTGTACATGTGTATGTATGTTTAATTATAAGCATGTTAAACGTGAGCGCCGCTGTGATTGAGGTAAAATACCACAAAATATAATCCCCATTTCAGGTAAAAATATTTTTGAGAAGATAATTGATTTTGAATTTATTTGATTGTCATTGTTTATTTAAGAAATGAAATGATGATTGTTGACTTTTACGTTTACGACCTTTTGGGTTCCAAACTGTTAGCTGTTGTTAGCAGATCATTTAATAAAAACCATTCCGAGCATACATCATTAATTAAACAAGAAACTAAATTAATTTCGGCACGCCGAACTTAGAATACCCTTGCAGATTGCTATTCGATTATTAATATTTCATAACAGTCACCTTATTATATTTACAGTATTCATAGTTTGTAATTTTTCTCCGACCCGTTTTGCCTTATATATACGTGAGAGTATTTATAAGATAAGCTGCAAAAATTTATTCAGATATTTTTTCAATTGAGAGACTAGTTTGCGTAGAAACCAAAAGAAACCTGTCAGTCTGTCCGACAGGGCGATCAAGAGTATATATCCTTTATAGAGTGGGAATTGACTCCTTCATTGCGTTGCAAATGCTGATTAAAATTTTATAATTTTTAATAGTTTTAAATATAAAGCCGGAAGTGAGTTACTGTAGAATTACTTAAAGAAGTTGTGTTTCAAACGATTGGTCCAGTCCAGATTTTGATTAAAGGGGTCAACTTTGAAATTACATTTTTTTTCTCACTTCTTCTTTGTAAAGTTTTTGAACACCATTATTTCTTCATGTATTATGTAAACAATATTGGAATCCAAAATGCTTTCTTGCAGGACGCCATATAATTTGTTTAATTTGTATAATTTGTAAACCCTCGCAGGATGTTAGAAAGTATCTGAATGAGACTTTGCAGTTAAACTCCTTTTTACTCTCATTAAGTCGGATTGGACGACTATATTATATACATATGTAGCTGCCAGAGGAATAATCGGAAAATTTCTAGAAAAAAATATACATTTTTGAGTTTTCAACATAAAATCTCGGTATACGCTTGCATATCTATCAAATAGATGATATTTAAATGATTGTTAAATGTAGAGGAAAAAGCCGAAATGTGAATGTAAAACTGTAACTGTAAAACTGTGAATATAATAGGTAAATGTGTCTGTAATGATAGTAAGAATATTTGGTTTTTTATTAATAAAAATATATATAAAATAATACTGAATTATTTATTAATGATTGAATTGGAATGGCCGACGGTATACAAACTTCGGTATGTCGAAGCTTCATTTCTTGTTATCTATTGAATTGCCCTAAAACTAAGGAAACATTTAAACAATTTGCAAGTAAAATTTTAAGTTATCTGAATAAAGCATTGCAGTTAGTCTTCTAGTCGTATAAAAGTCGGAACGAGCAAGATCGGACGACTATATCCTATAGCTGCCATAGAAATGATCAAACAATTTTTAGAACAAAATTATAACTTTTTTATTTTTAAACGTTTTTTATCAAATTTGTGATACAACAATTTTTTTTTTATCATTCTTGCCCTTCGACTTTAAAATAGGACTACTATGTCATATGCGTGGAAACAAACAGACGGACGGGCATGGCTTAATCGACTCGGCTTTTAATGCTGATCAAGAATATATGTACATATATACTTTATAGGGTCAAAAATGTGTCCTTCACTGCGTTAAAAACTTTTCACTAAAACTATACTAACCTGCAAGGGTATACAAATTGGATGAATATATTTTATAGCTTCTATTGTTAAATGTAACTGTAACTGTAAAATTGTAAATTTAATATAAAACCAGAAAGGAAGCTAACTTCGGCACGCCGAAGTTTATATACCCTTGCAGATAGAACTTCGATGACTTCCTGGATTCCTTCCATACAATATAAAATATATATATTAATGTTAAAAAACAATGAAGTAATACCTGCTTTCATTTCATTCACCTATACATATATTATATTTTCAGTTTGACATATTCATTTTTTGATCGTTCCTATGGTAGCTATGTGATATAGTAGTCCGGTTTTTTTTATAACTTTACACAAAATTATAAATTAAAATAAAATGGCTATATCTCATATTTGATGAAAATCTGGTGAAAACTGAAGAAGTTATAATCTTTAATTTTATTAATTTATTTTATTTCTTATAAAATGGCTATGTATTAAATTTGATGAAAATCTGTTGAAAACTAAAAATGTTATACTTTTTAATTGAATTAATTTCTCGATCGTTCCTATGGGAGCTATATGATATAGTCGTCCAATTTTCATAAAATTGTACACAAAATTGTAGAATAATATAAAATGTCCCAGAGTCAGTAACAAATAACTTTGGCTTTATCGTACAAAACTCGTTTCGGTAATATACATATGTTAAAGAGTTTTGGTGTCTGGTATCTCTTACTTACTTCTTTATTATTTTATTTTCATCATCATTTCTTAAATATATAGTTGACACGTTTCAATAAAATTAGTATTATAAAGAAGGCTTTCCATTTATTTTCCTATTCATATTCAATTCCCATGTCAGGTTTATGACAGAAAAAACGCATTGGTGTGAAAGCATCTAGGCCGGTCCCAACAGCCCGCAGTGGGCTGTCATCGACCTCAGGATCGAACTCAAGATTCCTGAGATCGAGCGTTACAAATGATTCGTTATCCATATATGCCGCAAGAGTGTTCGTGCTCCCGTTTGCATTAACACGGAACCAATATGCACTGGTTCGCCCTGCAGAAACGCTACTTTAGGATAGGCGAAATTTTACTAGAAGAAGACCACCTGTAAATTTGGACTTCAATCGCGCTGATTATGGCAACTATTCGGTCATATTCACAAATAACGTTGGTTTTTGCATCATATGGCATCTTCCATTTCAATTTAAGAGGATTCGGTTCCCAGTTTGGTTGGCTTTTGTGATGACAATAAATCGCAAGGCCAATCTTTGGAAATCTGTGTGATTAACCTTTTCCGCGTGTTCAGTTGTTCCGGCGTTAGAAAGCAGTTTTCAAATCAAATAACATAGTTTTCCAACGGAAGAGTTTTAAATAAATTACATAAAATAATTATCTGTGCTTTATTTTATCACCCAGGGGTTATTTAAACATCAAATAGGGGCGAGACAGGAGCGCCGGGCCAGCTTGTGTCCTATAAAAATATTAGAGTCTTACGCAGTAAGCTTTTTAAATAGTATTTCGATAGTTTAGTTAGTGCCTGTTCTTGTTGGTACAGTGGTCAACGGCTTGATCGGCGATCACACGAGAAGGTAGTGTCATAGCGGTTGGGTCCACAGTCATGCCAGAATTATTAACCTTCGAGAAATGCATATTGAATTCCTTTGTGTGAAGTTACTAGTCAATTGTAGCTCTAACTTTATTGCATTTCCCTTCATTCCTCGCTTGTCAAAACATTCAATTTGTAGGAACCAGCTTTCCGCTCTGCATTTCTAATAGACTTCGGGATTGGGAGCATTTGATAGTTTATATAACTCCCCAAATACATTTCTAACATACCATGATTTTATTGCAAGTTTGACCGACATTTCACTATCACGAGTCAACTATGTCTTATCTCAGATCCGTCAAGAGTTAATTTAGCTGGAGTGGCGCCGATGACGCAACCCGAAGATCCCTATGATGCTACTTTCAATTTGACTCTCGACATTGGGACTGATTTAGAGAATATACATATCTGGTCGACCAGCCAAAACAGTCCTGGGTTTTCGCAAGTCGGTCTTCGAATGGCTGAAAAATTTTATATCTTGATTTAATTGGTTCATTACACATTTATACATGTGCATGTGCACTGCCCTTTCCACGGCTCCTTTAAGGACTCTATTGCTAAAACTATTTGACTCGTTGCAAGGTCCTGGACTCTAAAGAGTTCTGTAATTTTATTAACACTGAACGGAAGCCTAAAACACATCATCGCTTTCATTTAAAAATACGACCGTAAATAATGATCGGGATCTATATGCGAAGCTTTTCAAATTACATGATCGAATTCCATAGATTTAGGTCAGACTAATTCATAAATAATACATCATACATTGAACCTAAATTTCAGTCTTACACAGATAAAAAGTATTTCAAAAAAACTAACTAAAATAAAAAACTAAGAATAATAGGGGTGGTTTTTCCGATGTGGGGCATTAAAATTTTTAAGTACGATTCCAGGTTAAATAGTCAAATTAAGCCCGTATCGTTTTAATCCCGATACGGATGAATTTGAATTCATATGATTCCCAACAGATTTGAACATCTCTGGCATGAGGTTACGGTTGCCGACCAAGTCTTAGATAAGTTTGTACTTATGTATGTATGTATGTATGTAAATATGTATGTACGCAACGACATTTGCAAGCAACAACAAAAAAATCTCATAAATAAATTACATTTTAATATAGACATTAGACTTAATATAATTAAAATTAATGTTAATCGCAAAACTACATTTTAATCGTATTTAGGATTAAAGTTGTAAAGAATTTTGGGAAATAAAACAAGAAGTCTTGGGATAAAAAAATATTACATATTAAATTTGGCAACAATCTCCCGGATTTTTTTCTGTGTAGTTTAAACGAAAGCTCTTTTCTTTAATATCTTCATCGTGTGAAGCCAGTTTGATTTGCCAGGTCCCGACGGAATACCTGATTGTGTGCTTAGGTATTGTGCAAATTCCCTATGCAATACCCATCTGAAGTTGTTAACCTTATCCTTAGAAACCTCTCACTTTCCCCTTACTTGGAAGGACAATTTTTCGGAAATGTTTTTTTTTTTTTAATTTTAGTCAGAAGCTTACAACGTAGTACAGGAGACATTTCCGACGGTATAAAGATGATATATTCTTGATCAGTCACGGCCCACAGTTTAGCATTTTCCTCTACACTTAACCATGAATGATGAATATAATGAAAGTAGGCATAACTTCTTTATTTTTTAACATAAAAATATGTATATACATTATCTTTTATAAATTTATAATGATCCAGTTGCAATCTGCAAGAGTATACAAACTTAGGAGTGCCGAAGATAACTTCTGTTTTCACTTGTCTTTCCGCCTAAATATGTTGTAGGAATAAAAAGAATGGTAGAACATTAGTTGTAGTATAATAGAAGGGTCGTAGTAATATGAAAAAGTGATTAGATTCAGACACCTAAACTCAAAAAAGGTTTTTATTTGGAAAAAAATCGCATATCTTGTTTATTAAATATCTTTTGATTTAGATGATGTTAGACGCGTTATCAGGCACACCATATTTCCTTATCATCATCCAACAAGAATAAAAGCTAACTTCGGCGCGCCGAAGTTTATATACCCTTGCAGAGAGATTTTCGATGACTAGGAATTAAATTATATATATTTATGTTAAAAAAACAATGAAGTAATACCTGCTTTTATTCCATTCACCTATACATATTATATTTACAGTTTTACTTTCACAGATTTGCATTTTTCTTCTATATCTAAAGGTCGTTTGTATATGATGTAGTCGTCCGATTTTCATAAAATTTTACACAATATTGATGAAAATCTGTCGAAAACTAAAAAACTTCAAATATTTAATTGTATTAATTTCTCGATCGTTCCTATGGGAGCTATATGATGTTGTAGTCCGATTTTCATAAGATTTTACACAAAATTGTAGAATAATATAAAATGTTTATATCTCATTGGCCAATTCTGTTGAAAACTGAAAATATTATAGTTGTTTTTTTTTTTGTAAAAATTTTCCGATAATCCCTATGGCAGCTATATGATAAATTCATCAGATCCGGCCCGTTCCGACATATATACGAATGAGAGTATATAGAAGACTAAATACAAAGTTTCATTCAGATAGCTTCAAAACTGAGAGACTAGTTTGCGTAGTAACGGACAGACCTATGTACATACATATGTACATGGTTGATGCTGATCAAGAATATACATATGTATGTATATATTTTCTAAAGTTGGAGGTGACTTCTTCACTGCGTTGCAAACTTCTGACTGAAATTATAATGCCCTGCAAGGATATAAAAAGTATGTAACAAAAAACTTTGGTCGTTCTTCAACATTCAAGAAAAAAGATTTTATTGTAATAATATTATTTCATAATTTTTTGTGAAATGTCTATTATAAATTCATTATGCAAATTATTTTTCAGTATCCCGCCTCATGAGTACTTCTGCCAGTGGGTCAATGAGTCATATGGGGAATATGACTGGATTAGCTGCCTGCAGCGTAAGCGATACAAAGCCTCTACAATTTCCATTGGCACAGAGAAGAAAACGCAGAGTTCTATTTACTCAAGCCCAGGTTGGTATTATACTTATAAGAATTACTTATATACAAAGCATATAAATGTAGATTTTCACCCTGTGAAGTTAATTATGGTCAACAGACAAGACGATCTAGCAATGACCGTCTATTTGTTTGTCTATTGGTGTCTGTCCGTTCTCTTGTATATTCCAGGTGTATTTGTCGTATATTAATAGTGTATTCTATGAACATCTGTTTGTTTGTCTATCAGTGTCTTTAATTCTTTTAATATCTTAATTTTTTAACACAGAAAAAATTACCGTGGGTTAAATCAATAATTTTTCGAATTATAATTTTAGTCAGGAATTTGCAACGCAGAGAAGAAGGCATGTTCTTGGTCAGCATCAAAAGCCGATTCAATCAAGCCATATCCAATATTTATTGTATTATTTTAAAAAATTATACAAAAATTATTTTAAAAAATGATAACTTCGGTATTTTTAAAATATTTTCATATAATCAAAGATGTAGCCTCTTCTTAATATTCAAGAATTTCGGATTTTATTTTATGAAAATCGGACTACTATATCATGTAGCTGCCACAGAATCGATCGTTTAATGTGGAGGAAAATGGAAAACTTTGGGTATAAGACTGTGAGTGTAAAACATTTTATTTACAGCTAAACAGTCAAAGTCTTACACTCACAGTTTAGCAATTTACTTAGCGATGAACGGTGAATATAATGAAAATAGGCATAACTTCTGTGATTTTTATCAAGATATGTTTTATTTATTTTGTATTAATTATTTATGATGTAACTGCAAGGGTATGCAAACTTCGGGTAACCAAATTTAGTCCTCTGGGTTCTTAAATGTACATATGTATATACATAAATATATTTAATTTTTCCCATTTAAATAAGCAAAGTAAAATTAAATATTGAGAATGTTATAATGAAAAACGAATTTTATATTTATCATCCACTTGAAGAGTTTCGGTCTTGAATAAATACAAGATATTTTCATGAGCTTGTGTTTACATTGAGCAAATGGCTGTTTGCACATCAGTACGGTTGTTACTGACGGTTGGTAAGCATGCTCACACAATAATATATCCATTTGTATGTATGTAGGTACATATGTATATACATATGCCATATACACCCTGCAGTACCATTCATCAGTAATTAATCAACGATTCATCAACAGTCAAAGCGGTGTTGTTGATGATTCATCGATTAATGGCGATACAAACTGTTGATGAATTTAACATGGGCATGTCCTAGGCTGTCATCAATAACAATTCATCAACAATTAATCAATGAATCATCAACAAATTCATAAAAAAAACTCATCGATTATTCATCAACAACTGATCAGCAGTTCATCAAAAATTCATCAACAATTCATAAAAAATTCATCAACAATTCATTAACAAATTCATCAACGGCCTGGCCATGGTACTGCCGACGACTGCCGTCTAGACTACCGTCGTAACTCTATAGTGGGCAGAGCGTCGACCCGGTAGAAGTCACAGTCGGCGCGTTGATGACTGTTGATGACAGTGGCCTATTGATGACATGCTGTACTGCAGGGTATTGACTTGTTAGCCATATCCGTCGTTCACTTTCTACGCAAACTAGTTTTTCAATGAATGAAACTTTGAAGTTTTCTTTATACTCGCACTCGTATACATATGGGCAATTCTCCAGAAACGTGCATCGCGGCCAAAAACTTAAAATTGCTTAAAAACGAGTATTTTAAACATGATTACATAAAAAATTGGTCAGGATGATCAAGACTAAGAGAATTTTTCATTTTCTAAAATAAGTTTCAAAAAAATGGATGTCAAACACGCGCAAACGCAAATAATGTTGTTTTGATCAAAAAAAGGCATACAAAATGGCATGTTTTGTTTTGATGCCCATCTCTTAAACCGAACCATTTTGCTTTAACTTTTGGTTTCTAATATGACATAAAAAACCCAAAGATTCAATATTAAGTGCAAAAGGACATATCCGATTACCAATATTCGTACAGTTTTAGTTTGAACTAGCGCTTTCCAAACTGTCGCGTGCGACATGTCGAGTGCGACATGTCGCGTGCGACCGGGACTAAAATTGAATTTAAAAAATAACTACTTAATATTTTAAAATCAAACAAAATACGTTAGTAAGATAATTCATTGCGTAATTCATTAAAATTTATTGTACTACAATTTTTCATCACGTTTCGCTGAAATCAGAGCTTAAACTGTTTTTTTTTCAAATGTAACTTCTATTTTTGTCGCGTGCGAACGCAGTACATTTTAGTGAATATCTTGAAAACAAACAAAGATTCAAAATCGAGCTTTGCACCAATTGTAGTGCTAACCAAGAGCTATACGTTTCAAATTTTATAAAATTAAAATAAAGTCTTGGCACATGTGTTTTTTTAGTTTGAATGCATACGAATGTCGCATTCGACACCAGAGAATTGCCCATATATGTATGTATGTATATCGGAACAGGCCGGATCGGACTTCTATGTCATATAGCTGCCATAGGAAGAATCGGAAAACTATTACTCTTTCAGTTTTCAACAGATTTTCATCAAATTTGAGATAGCCATTTTGTATTATTCTAGAATTTTATAAATAAACAAGAAAGGAAGCTAACTTCGGCACGCCGAAGTTTATATACCCTTGCAGAAAGAACTTCGATGACTAGGAATCCATACAATATAAAATATATATATTAATGTTAAAAAACAATGAACTAATATCTGCTTTCATTTCGTTCACCTATACATATTATATTTGCAGTTTTACATTCACTGATTTGCATTTTTCCTCCACATCAAACGATCGTTTGTATGGCACCTACATATATGATTTTCCTATTTTCATGAAATTTGACACAAATTTTAAGACTTATATAAAATGGCCATACCTCAAATTTGATGAAAATCAGCTGAAAACTGAAAAAGTTATAAATTTAATTGTATTAATTTCTCGATCGTTCCTATGGGAGCTATATGATATAGTAGTCCGATTTTCATAAAATTGTATGCAAAATTGTAAAGTAAAATGGCCATATTTAATATTTGATCCAATTCTATTGAAAACTGAAAAAGTTAAAACTTTTTTTGTAAAAATTTTCCGACCATTCCGGCCCGTTCCGACATATGTATGTATATACGAGTGAGAGTAAATAGAAGGCTAACTACAAAGTTTCATTCAGATAGCTTTAAAACTGAGAGACTAGTTTGCGTAGAAACGGACAGACGGACAGAAGGACATACGGACAGACGGACATGGCTAGATCGACTCGGCTGTTGATCCTGATCAAGAATATATATACTTTATATAGTCGGAGGTGCCTCCTTCACTGCGTTGCAAACTTCTGACTGAAATTATAATACCCTGCAAGGGTATAAAAAGACGACTATATCTTTAGCTGCCATAAAAACGATCGTAAAAAATACAAAACTGTGAATATCAAACTGTAAATATATTATGTTTAGGTGAATGAATTGAAAATAGGAACTAATTCATTGTTTTTAAAGATAAATATTTATAATTTATATTGTATTAATTCATAGTGATCGAATTTAAATATGCAATAGCTTCCTTTCTTGTTATTAATTTCAGTTGTTAAAAATTTGTTAATGGCGAAGTAGTTTAAAATTATTACACTTGTAGCGTTAGGATATTAAAAAATTAAATCAATTGTTGACCTGTCTGCGATTTTCCACCGACCCAATTGACATAGAGGTCTTCTAGATAGACTTAACATTTGTATCAAAAAAATTCGGTAAGTAATTGCGCCCAATTCTGGCTTCCTAAGGTTCTTCCCACACGTGGTACTGCAGGGCATCTTTATACATATGTATGTATAAAATACAATGAAAAATTACAATGAAAATCTTAATAACTTCTGTGTATGTTCTGTTAAAAATGTTCTGTGATAACCTGATTTATTTATCGTCAGATACTAATTTTAACACGCTTTTATTAGTTCAATCAACAGCACCCACTTGACTGTTGATGATTTTTTGTTGATGACAGGTGCTGCAGGGTAACTTGATGAATTACTGATGACAGGTACTGCAGGGCAGTCGATGAAAAATCAACAGCACCCCCTTGACTGTTGATGAAACGTTGATGAATTACTGATGACAGGTACTGCAGGGAAGTTATTATGATTTTTCATCGATGACAGGCCATACAAACTGTTGATTTATTTAACATGGGCATGTCCTAGGCTGTCATCAATAAAAATTCATCAACAATTCATCATCAATTCATCGATGTTTCATCGAAAAAATCAACAAATTTCTCAACGGCCGGGCCATGGTTCTGCCGACGACTGCCGTCTAGACTACCGCCGTTACTGTATCGTGGGCAGAGCGTCGTAGTAGAAGTCGCAGTCGGCAGAGCGTCGACTCGGTAGAAGTCGCAGTCGGCAGAGCGTCGCCTCGTTAGAAGTCGCAGTCGGCGCGTTGATGACATGTTGATGACAGTGGCCTATTGATGACACGCGGTATTGCAGGGTTTGAAAACAGACCACCCACAGAATGTCAATTTGCATGTTTTATGTTTACATGTACATATTTTAATATTTGTTAGGCATTGTATTGCGATGGGCAGTTGTTGCAGTTAAGCATACCGAGCTGAAAAAAGTACCTCCAAGCTGCAGTTAAGCAAGGTAGTGGCCATATTTTGTTTTGGGCCTAAATAACGGTCTTTGGAGTGGGAAACCAAATTTTTTTACGGTATCAATATTTTCCTTTCATTTTAAAAGGCTAATACGGAATCGTTTTCAAAGCTACTATAGCAGCAACTCCTAGTACTTGTCGGACATTCTGAAGCATTAGCTCATCTACAACTGTCCAAATGGGAACAAAACAACATCACAGCCACCTAGACGTAAACATAATTATAAATTTGAAGCACATATACTATACTATATTAATAATAATAATTTTAATTCTCCGATCATTCCTATGGCAGCTTTATGATATAGTCGTCCGATCCGGCCCGCTCCGAATTATATACGAGTTAGAGTATATAGAAGACTAACTACAAAGTTTTATTCAGATAGCTTCAAAATAGGGATACTAGTTTCGTAGAAACGGACAGACGGACAGAAGGACAAACGAACAGACGGATATGGCTAGATCGACTCGGCTGTTGATGCTGATAAGAATATATATACTTTATATGGTCGGAGGTGACTCCTTCAGTGCGTTTCAAACTTCTGACTGAAATTATAATACCCTGCAAGGCTATAAAAATGGGAGAACTATCTTAGTAACATTTAAGGATTAAAGTGACATTCCAATAAACTTTCGAGTAAACTATGGTAACTTAATAGACTTTTTTTATTGTGTGATTGTAGGTATATGAATTGGAAAGAAGATTTAAGCAGCAACGGTATCTATCCGCGCCTGAACGAGAGCACTTGGCCAGCCTCATTCATTTAACACCTACACAGGTAAGTTACTTGGAGTCGGAATATCATTTGATAACCAAAGAAATTTAAGAGTTAAAAAACTTAAAAAAAAAAACCCATAATTTTTTCCTATTTTAGTTAAACAATAATTTATAATTATAAATTATACCATACTCCCAGATTTAGTCCGTTTCAACCCAAACTAGTCTCTCAGTAGTAAAGATATCTGAATGAAAGTCTGCAGATAGTCTTTTGTTTAGAAAAAATTATGATATTTTCCCAGTTTTCAAAATATTTTCACATAATTTGAGATACAGACATTGTGTATTCTTTTTTTTTAGAAATTTTAGAAATGAAAGTCATACGACTATATTATATACTAGACAAAGGAACGACTGAAAAATTAATATAAGAAAATTTATGAAGTGTTTTTAACATATTTTCATTTTTATTTGGGAAATATAAATTTATTCTCATTTTAAATTTAGATTTTAAATTTATGCAAACTTTTTATATATCGTATAGCTCTCAAATGATGTAGAGGAAAATGCAAAACTGTAAATAAGATATTTATAGGTGAATTCAATAACAGCAGGTATTACTTTGTTGTTGTTGTTTGGCGAGTTTACGAACAAGGCGCTGGCCTTTACTCATTTTAACTTGCGAGAATCATAACTTTCGCACCAAATAAGATAATCAAATAATATAAATAATAGTTTAAAAAACTAAAAAAATACGCGTTTATAAATAACCGAACTAAAAAGAAGAAATTAATATATAATTACAAAAAAATTATTACATTCAGAGCTATAGTATTTAATTATAAACAAGATCACGGTGCATCCGGAGACACGGTAGTAACTCGCGCCAAGTACCTTATTATTATTCTTTTTTTTTTCTTTAATTAATTATATCAATCATTGTTTTAACATGTATTCAGTTCTACTATTGCTGTAAATTTGTCATTTGACTGATATATGTACATAATGCTGTCACTAAGCAGAATGTTTAAATATTAGTATTTTAGTTTGATTTATCAATAATCAATTTTTGCGGACATGTAATTATGAAATATCTTACGAACTATTTCGTAATCTCATTATTTCATTTAAGGCCCCTTTGTTGCATGGGGTTTTTCCTGTTAACTTTGATTCTTCTTCAATGCGAATACCGTCAAAGGTTCTTACACGACTAAGTGCTACATAAGCTTGTCCAGCAGCAAACAGGCATGCGCAGATCGCGCGCTAGCTCTGTCTCTCTTACTCCTTTACGGAGGATCTATAAAAAAATAATTTATCAATCCTGATGCTCCTAATCAGGATAATGGAAAATTTGTATCAAATTATTGCATTGTCATCGGTCCTTGAGAAGTATGCAAAGTTTCAAGCTTAACAGATATTTGGAAACCCTTGAAAATAGTGTTCAAAGATTCCGTTACATACATATGTACATACATCCCGAATAAAAGCGTTTTAATAAAATGGACTTTTCTCAATAATCAATCAAAAATCAATTTGAAAACTGAAAAATAAATTTAACATACCAATTTTTTAATTTAATATTTTTTGTTATTTATCTATTATTATTTATAATTTTGACTACTTATTACTAAAAATAAATCTATATTAAAGGAATTTCTTATATATTACTCATTTTTTAACTAACAAGGTAAAAGGTAAAAACAATGGACACCTGGCAGGTAGCAATGTGCCTTTACAAGCCCAAACCAAAATACCGTTTTTCTTAGTTTGGTTTACGGTTTTTACCTTTCCAAGGTATTAAAATTTCGGTCAGCGCAGTGAAAGAGTTATCTCCTACCATATATAGTATATACATATATATATATATTCTTGATCAGCATCAACAGACGAGTCGATCTAGCCATGTCCATCTGTTCGTTTCTACGCTTCTACGCAAACTAGTTTCTCAGTTTTAAGCTATGTATCTGAATAAAATAGAGGAAAACGCAAAACTAAGAATTTAAAACTGTACATATAATATATACATGTATGTGAATGAACAGACATTACATTATTGTTTTTTAACATAAATATATTTAATTTATATTGTATTAATTCCTAGTGATCAAAGTAATATCTGCAAGGGTATAAAAAATTCGACTTGCCGAAGTTAACTTCCTCGTGTGCATATATCATACTGCGTTCCAAACTTCTGACTAAAATACGAGGTCGCGCCATATTTTAGAAATTTTTTTCATTCTTAATAAACGTTTGACTTGTTTTTATACCCTTGCAGGGTATTAAAATTTTCTACGATTAAGCAATAATCGGAGTAAGGTGGACCAAACAGAAGACTTAACATCTGTTAACTTAACAGTGGCGCGCTCAGTTAAAATTTCTTTTACGTAATATTACAAATTTATATTGTCTAAATACATTCAATAAATTTACATTAGAATTAATTTAATTTAACGACTTTTAAAAATGGGGTTTGTCCAGAAAAAGTAGTTATTCTTCCCATATTGCAATGGTATAAAAGGCTCTCTAGAACAAAGAACAAATGCATTAATATTAGAGCTTAGCAAATACATAGGTCAAAAAGAAATTTTAATAAATGCGAAGTTATTATCATTTATTATTTTCCGAATAATCATTTTATTATCATTAGTTCCTAAAGATTGTCTGCAACATATTTGCCGCAGAAACTATGAATTTTATTTATATATTTTTTGTAATGATCAAAATAGTTCAAACACTTAAACACAAAAAAAAAAGATTTCCGGGAAGATTTTCCAGGTAAAATGGAAACAATTAATCGAGCCATACATTAAAACACCCTCGTATCTTAGATTCCGGATATAAAAAACGTCATTAATCTCTTGTCAATATATTTAAACTCATTTAATAACATAATATTATTTACTTCGCTTCAATTTTAAAGTTGAATAAAAATAATACATGGAAACAATCATGTAATTACCAATGGAATGCCTGCTCGTATAAATTCACACATAGTTTTATAATTAAGGTGCCTTACTACTATTTCATTACTTATGCCTTTAAATAGTGAAGAGCATGATCAAACAAAGACCACTTTTCTGTACAGTTTAGGGGTGAGTTTAAAATGTTTTATATTTTTCATTGTTCCTTAATGCATTTTTATCTTTCAAAAACAGGAACTTTTGTGAATACATATATTTTGTTTTCTTTATTCAAGGGTAATCAGCAGCTACGTTTATGTGGGTAGGCATTGAACAAATTTCAACGACATACAATGAAGGGTGACAATACAATTCAGATGTTTTTATTGTTATAACACGTCGCATCTTGAACCTTTTGTGCAGACCGCAAAAGTAATTGCTTAACCTAATGACAATTATCTGTTAAGTGGTAGTCATTGTTATTAAAACGCCCTCTTATTGATCGACGTGAATATGAGTCCTCATACATTTGCATATGTTTTTGTTTCAAAAATAAATCTACTAATATACTTAATACTTAATATCAAATTTTTTATTGTTATTTTTATTTTATAAATTGTTGGTTATAATATACCTATGTATATTATAATAGCTATGAAATGTTTTTTTTTAGAGCTGCGATGACATGAAACTATATGCAATTTATCTTTTTGGTTATTTATACTAAATTGATATTAGAAATTTTACCTAAAACCTAAAAGTGTATGCACCATTTTAATGGAGAAAAACATAACTGTAACGGAATCTTCTGCTGAAGTAGAGCTCCTGAGCCTATTGAACCATACAGCGCACGAATTCTAGAGCTACAGGTTGATGTTATTGAGGAGTTTGATGCGGATTTAAAAAATGAGCTGACATTATTTGGAAAATAGGGATTTGCCGGCAGCTCGGGACATGGCGCATATAAACAGCAAGTCGAAATTAATAATTTGGAGGACTCGAATGTTTTTGTTACATCCTACATCCCACTGCACCTTCTTAAAAAATCCGATGTGAACAAACAAAAAGTTATTTGGAAAAATCCTTGCCCATTATACATTCGGCACGCCGAAGTTTATATACCCCTGCAGATAGAACTTCGATGACTAGGAATCCATACAATAAAAATTATATATATTTATGTTAAAAAACTGTGAAGTAATACCTGCTTTCATTTCATTCACCTATACATATTATATTTGCAGTTTTACATTCACAGATTTGAATTTTTGCTCCACATCTAACGATCGTTTGTATGGCACCTATGTGATATAGTCATCCGATTTTCATAAAATTTTACACAAAATTTAAGACTTATATAAAATGGGTATATCTCTAATTTAATGAAAATCTGCTGAAAACTGAAACGTTATAACTTTTAATTGTATTAATTTCTTGATCGTTCCTATGTCAGCTATATGATATAGTATAACACAAAATTGTAGATTAAAATAAAATGGCTATAACTCATATTTGATGAAAATCTGGTGAAAACTGAAGAAGTTATAATTTTTAATTTTATTAGTTTCTTGATCTATGGCAGCTGTATAATATGCTTGTTTGAGTTTCGTAAAATTTTACACAAAATTGTAGAATAATATAAAATGGCTATATCTCAAATTTGATGAAAATCTGTTGAAAACTGAAAAATTTATAATTTTAATTGTATTAATTTCTCGATCTTTCCTATGGGAGCTATATGATATAGTAGTCCGATTTTCATAAAATTTAACACAAAATTGTAGAATAATATAAAAAAGCTATAAATGCTGAAAATGTTATAATTTCTTCTGTAAAAATTTTCCGATCATTCCTATGGCATCTATATGATAAAGTCGTCCGATCTGGCCCGTTTCGGCATATATGTATACGAGTGAGAGTATAAGAAGACTAACTACAAAGTTTCATTCAGATAGCTTCAAAACTGAGAGACTAGTTTGCGTAGAAACGGACAAACGGGCATGGCTAGATCGACTCGGCTGTTGATCCTGTTTTTTTTTTTTTTGAGTACTTCATACTCATGGCTTACAGACTTCCAATTAAACAATGGCAAACAAGAAATGCAAGGAAAAAATGCAGGAACAAAAATTCTTATTTAGAAAGAATTTCGTCAAAAAATGGC